GAATCATACTGAAGTTGCTCTAAAAGGATCTCACATTTAATAAATTATAACAACAACAAAAAATTAAAACACTAAGATTGTGGATGGAGGATTACTACATTGCAAGGAGATATGTGTAGCTGCTTGAGCAAGTCCTTCCTAAGTTTTTTCAAATTTTGTCTAAAGAGAAGTCGAAGGAAAGGAGAACTAGAACAAGGAAAGGCCAGTTTGAGTCAGAAAGGCATTGATGACTCAAGGTTTATATTAGGGGAGAATAAGAGGATGAACTATCGGTTTTGGCCCAATTATCCAATTTCTCCAATATCTCCAAATAGGCATGGTTCTATAGTCAAAGTAACTTCGTCACTTTCATGTACACATTGGATGGCAACTGTTCCTCAACCAAGTACATTGCCCCGAGGAAATACAAATTGCCCTGCCATTTTCCGTCCTTTATTTCTGCCATATTAAATGAAAGAGAAAAAAATCTTAAAAATTCCCTTTCCTTTTCCATCTATTCTTTGGTTCCAAAGAGAGCATTTGGTAGTTTCTATTCATTTCCCTATATAAGCTGCCTACTCTTTCTGCGGGGAACATTTTAAGTTTTCAACTTGTAACAATATTTAAGTTGAATGTGAAGTTGCTATGATCAGGGAGTAGTCGTAGCTGTGTCTCTACTTGGATGTTAACTTATCTCATGAAAACTTCAGTTTATCCTCTGAAGCAAAGTTGTACAGAGTTCCATAGCTGATCAGAACTTGCAAAATATTTAAGTTGAATATGCAGTAGCCAGATTCTGTTGCACCATACATGGTTCATAAACAAATATCAATCTACTATGCGATCAGAGGTTGCACAAGCGGCAGTCAATAATGTGTTATGCTGGATTATACTAATCACTTAAGCACATGCTCACATATAGCAATGGAGCTGAGATCACATTAATATTTCTTTGCTGCTTTGGTTTGTTGTTTTATTTTTCTTTAATTTAGTACATTGAAGTAGTAGTGGTGGCTTCCTTTGTGAGATATACAAGAAAGGAGATTGATTCTATCGTATCTGTAAATGAATACATCCAATCTGCAATGTCGGAAAGATTGCTTTACTTTAGAGAAAGTGGGCAAATGCAAATAAAGGTTTTTGAAAAAGTAAAAAAGCACAGTCAACTCCGTTTCCCTTCAACAACTCTGTAATTGTTGTCTATGACAGTTTTAAGATACTACAACTTCTCTCTCTCTCTCTTTTTTTTTTCTTTTTTGGTAAAGAAGAAATTTATTACTGATAAATAAATACTATGTAGTAGGTACATTTTTGGGTCTGTCCAGGGTACATACCCTGATGGCCATTAACAAAAGGACATACTATTACATAAATTGGCGAAGCATCATACAATATTAATCTCTCAAAACTATTAGTACTACCTTCAAGCTTCAACCCCCCCACCCCCTCCATGAAATAGATAGTATTGTTAGCACTACTAAATTTAGCTAGATCAGTTAAAGGATATAAAACTAAATTGAACAATCATCAATTATTGGAATAAAATAATTTGATCCTACACAAATGTTTTTAGAAAAGGTACCAACAAGGGCCGTTGTCGAGTGATAAGTACTCCTTTATTCTTAACCAGAGGTCTCGAATTCGAGCCCCTGGTATGGAGTCGCCTTTGTTAGGGAGCGCTTTACCCCAATGTGGGACTTCTCGGCGTGAATCCGAATTTAGTCGATCTCCAATGTAAGTACCGGACACCGGGTGGAAAATAAAAAAAGATAGTAGAAAAGCAACATAAAATTCTCTTCAACCCACTTAGGTGACCTTTCGTATTATCCGGGTTGTTTGACTAAACCTTATTATTGGAAATAATTTCGGTATTAGATTCTCCTGACCTATGCTGATTGAAAAAGATCTACTTACTAAAAGTTCTCCTTGCTTACTAGTACTAGTTACTAATTTTCTCTTGCTTTTTATTTTTTTAGAAATTATCTTCAGTTTATTTGATTTTTCCTAATTATTATTTTGCTTTCCTATGTCCATATTTTCTTGCTTTTGGAAAAACTTGAGAAGCCAGAGAGAGGAAGACATGGCGGCAAGGAGCATCACATACATTACCGGCTCTCAGCTTCTCTCTCTTAAACGCCGTCCTAACATCGCCATCGTCGACGTCAGGTCTTACAAACAAACTCTGTCACTCACATATTCTTTCAGATCTCTATTTTATGTCTATTTCTACTAAACCCCCATATCTGATTGCTTTTGTTTTGGCCTCAAATTATTTGCAGGGATGATGAGAGGAGCTACGATGGTCACATAGCTGGCTCACTTCACTTTGCTAGCGATACTTTTCGTGATAAAATTCCCAGCCTTATTCAAGCTGCTAATGGCAAAGATACCCTTGTTTTTCACTGTGCTCTTAGCCAGGTTCAAATCTTGTTTCCTTACCTACTTTCTCATATTTGTTAAATAGCTCTTTCTTTTCTTATGTTGGGTTTTTCAGTTTTTGGTTAAAGATTCTATCTTTTGTTGGATTTTAATTCTATCTTGATCACTCTACAGTGTTTGCATCACATTGGCATGAGATGATTTAAATGGAGTAGTGTGGTCAGTGAGGATTCATATAGTCCGACCCAACTTGTTTGGGATTGAGGATAGTTATTGTTGCTTGATCACTCTACAGTTCCTTTTGGGTTCTGACTTATCTGCTGTTGATACATTTCTTTATGGAACTGCTAATGGCATCTTGAACTTATCCCAGACTAATCTTAGTTTCTAATCTATATTGTGGTTATTTGTCAACTCTCTTGGCATTTCTTTTGCCAGATTCAGTTTTTGGTTAAAGAGTGTTTCTGCACATCTCCTTATTGTTTTTCAGTTGATTGGTTTTTTAGGGGTTATCAGCTTGAATTTTGAATTGGCCAAAATTATGGAAAGCAGGGTGTTATAGGATTTCAACTACTACTAGTCAGATAAATAACTTCTAGTGTTATTGCTGTTTGTGGAACTAGAGATATCAAGATCAGTAAAGATACACAATGAAGCAGCGAAAGACTAATTAGAGAGTCTCACCTTGCTTTTCTTCCATAACTTAACATTTCCCGTAGTATCATTTATAATTCCACAGTTAATCTATATTAGTCAAACAATTTTTACAATTTGAGTTTTACCTTAATTTTTCCTTTCNGCATCATTTAACCAATAACTTAAAACATGTGGGCGAGTTCCTTTCTTCTTCCAATAACATTCTTTATTCCTCAGTCCAATCTTGAATACTATTTGAAATTCAGAAGAGCTGTGTGGAGGATATTGTTAGGCCAATATGTAAAGCTATTATAATATTTGACTAAGATCTGTCTAGTGGTCTCTTTGGGCTGTATATCCATTCGGTAAAAGAAAAGGAGAAAATGAAGCATCTCCTGATTCCTTGTGCTAGCACTACAGGTGGATATGTCATCTGTATCACAGTTTTGCTTTACATGTCAAGCTCATGGATGAAGCAACAACTAGAAGTTTAATGAACAAAGTAAATAGAAAGATGAGGGTAGACTATAGAGATAGAAATATCAAAGAAATACGCTAGATTGTGATTTTGTAGAAGAAGTTATAGTTTGCGGAGTTGGTACTCTAGAGTAAACCTGGAAAAGAGACAACTAATAGCTGATGGTCACTTGGGATTACTTACGAAAGTATAGAAGAAGGAGGTACCAGTTCAAAGATAAGGCTTGCCTTTTTCAAAAATGTGAAATTAGCACTAAAGTTCAAAGTCTAAAGGGTCATGTTATGCTAATTCTTGCTTTTGGTCTTTGAAATTGTGCATGTGGCTTTATTCTAAGAGTAGCGTGCAAGATCTGAGAGTACTCATATGCTACATTAAGGGGTCGTTTGGTGTGATGGACAACCAAAAATAATCCTGGGATAAAAATTTAGTACCGCCTTGTTCCTTATTTGGTTAGTAGCCTTGGGATAAGTTATCCCAGGATTAAAAATATTACCAGAATAACTTATACCTGCCAGAGGATGGAATAGTAATCCCAGGGTAAAACAGTAAAATTGACAAGCCCATGATTAATACAATATACCAAACAGTCAATAAGAAATAATACCAGGATAACCAATGCCAGCATAACTTGTTCAAGCCAAACGACCACTAAAGGTATAATACTGTACATTGCCAGTTTTAGTAATACATTACTGCCTAAAGGAGTTCTTTTTTAACAATTGACCAAGCAAAAATGTGCATAATATTTTCTAGAGTTATGAAATGGTTGTGTTATAACTCATATTCTAGGCTTTGTAGTAGAGTTCGGAGTATTCTCATCTGCTTGCTAATTCTCATAGTGCAAGCAGTGACACCATCTTCCTGCTTCCCTTTAAATTAAGCTTCTCCTCTTCTAAATAGCAACTTTTCTTTATAAAAAGTTCTTTCATTATGCAAGAGGATAATGAAGTGTTTCATGTGGTATTTTAATGGAATTGGACGCTCGCACTGATTATTACATCTTAAATAACTCCATTCATTTACGTGTTGTTGTTGTCCTCTGCGCATGTTGTCCTAGTGATTGCAAGTTTTGGAGAACAGAAGAATATACCTCCTATCTGTATTTCTTCTTTTCACATATCGGTCAGCGTATTGAGTTGTCAATGACTGTTTTCTAGGTTCGGGGACCAAAGTGTGCAAGGAGGCTTGCAGAATATCTTGCCGAGTCGAAAGATGATGCAGGAATAAAAAATATTATGGTATTGGAACGTGGTTTTAATGGATGGGAGGCATCTGGTAGGCCAGTTTGTCGTTGCACTGAGGTCTTCTGCAAGGGTCACACTGAACAGGCACAACAATAAAATTAGATAAACCATGCCAAAGAAAAGGGATATGTTGCATCCTGATATATATAATCTTTTGACTGCATATATCAACTATAAAAAATAGAGTTGTGACCTGGGAACACAAGTGACTATTTGGCTGCTGATACATGTATTTGCTTAACATATGAAACTGACAATATTATTTTGATGTAATGCTGTCTTGCAATTACGTTCTTGAAGTTTTCCTCATCAAACAAACTGCAGGGAAAAGCAAAACAACATTTGTTTTGGGCTAACATATGTTTGATTGTTACCATAAAAAGATGGGATGCCTTAAAATCTTCTACGCTATGAATTCTATGTGATGTAAATATAAACCGTGCAGCTGCTTTACAGTTCAAGATTTGTCTCTTTTCTTTTCAGTTTTCGTCCTTTTTACTAATATATTTTAAACATGTTCTTTGTGACAATCCGTCGTATAAATATTACTATCCGAATTATCTGCTATACAGTCAAGGTAAAAATGGTCTCTCGTCTCTTAATTTCTTCTTCTTCTTCTTCTTCTTCTTCTTCCCGTGTGTCTCTTCCGTCAATATCGTTAGTGCTATTCAACACGCCTTTATTTGTCATCAAAATAAAATAGATTTCTCTATGGGCTTTACACTAGTAAACTTTAGAGGTTAAAAGCTCCTGTAGGTAAAAATAATTGGGCGTCCCCCATTTAACATATATCCATTTTTTTAAATTTTTTTAATTTATACCCACTTTTTAAAAAACTTCAGCCCCCTTTCTCCTCCTCCTTCTCCCACTGATCTCCATATTTCTTCGGAACTTAATATTGATGTAACAATATCTCTCCTTCTGTGGCTTCACTCAATTTCTCAGAAGCCATCTTACTATACATAATTAAAATAATTAAAATCTTTATTTTCAATTTGCTTCTTCAATGTTCGTCAAAAGAAAAGTCAATTGTGTTACCGGAGTCCCAATTTAATGTGTTGCACCTCAAAAGAATCTAGTCTTCTTGACATTTATGGAGCTATAATATCCCCAACAGCTAAAATAGTACTACTTAATGCTATTTAAAGCCATCAGATCTCAAACTCTCGCATGCAGAAAGATCATGTGGATGAAGGGTAGTTAATCAATGATTTTTCTGCAGTACTGGTCATGTATATATCCCTGGAGGAGGTATGGGTTCCTCCCCCAAAAATAGAAATTTCAGCAGCACATACTCAAGGGTTTTAAAAACTTCAGCTATAGAGCTGAAGTTCGCCAGTTACAAACAAAAACTTCAGCTCTAGAGCTGAAGTTCGACAGTTACAAAACAAAAACTTCAGCTCTAGATTCTTCCTTGTTCCGTGCTCCCGAGGCCTTGAAAACCTCGCTTTTAGTTGCCTCGATTGACGTGCGCAGTTCGGGCGCATAGCCGGAAAGTTTTTATGTTAGAATATGTGAATTATGTGAAACATTTGATGAATTTTGGTATTAATATGCATAATGTTGACTTCAGTCAACATTTTGGGTAAANGTTCGAATAATGTGACACAAGCTCCTTGTTTATTGGATGAGTTTCATATAATGTGAACGGTTGAGGTAAGATTGTGATTGGTGCACTTTTGGAGCGTTAGCTCGAACATGAATGTGTTAGTTGAGGAAGAATGGATTTAAAAAGGAGAATGTGTTGTTAATACTCCCTTGCCGGTGACATATTGTGCATTGTGATAAAGATGAATTGGGATCGTGTGGCACGCCGTCCACTTATATATGATATTATGGGATCGTGTGGCGCGCCGTCCACTTGGTTATTGGCCTCCGTTGCCGGTGACATATTGTGCACTGTGATAAAGATGAAATGGGAACGGGTGGTACGCCTACCACGTGGTATATGGAAATAGGGATCGTGTGGCACGCCGTCCACCTATATGTTGTTAAAAGGGATCGTGTGGCACGCCGTCCACCTATATATTGTTAAAAAGGGATCGTGTGGCATGCCGTCCACTTATATACTATACTATGGAATCTTGTGGCACGCCGTCCACTTATATATATATATATATATCATGGAAACTGGAGTTTCTTCTGTTTATTTCCGATATTTCAATTTNTAAAGCTGAAGCTTACAAACAAAAACTTCAGCTCTAGAGCTGAAGATCGACAGTTACAAAATAAAAACTTCAGCTCTAGAGATGAAGCTTACAAACAAAAACTTCAGCTCTAGAGCTGGAGTTCGCCAGTTACAAACAAAAACTTCAGCTCTAGATCTGAAGTTCGACAGTTACAACACAAAAGCTTCAGCTCTAGAGCTGAACTTCAGGCTCAGCTACTGGAATGCTGAAGTTTTGCGTGATTGTCTTTGCTACTTCAGCTACGTATGCTGAAGTTATGCAAAAAAGTCGGTACGCTTGTAATTTTTTTTACAAAGCGGACACAAGTTAAAATGTGACACAAAAAACGGGTCTAGATACAAATGTCCCTCCTGTAAGACAGACAGAGACGACATTGCATTGTTTAGGGCAAAAGGGAAGCAATCTCATTCAGGCATATGTGACTAGCTAGGGATCAAGGGGCGTAGATTGCTTGAACTGGACCAATTAGGAGATCGATCAATTAAGTGGGCGAAAATCATGAAAAATCAGGGTTCAAATTCGGTAGCTGAAAATTCTTGTACCTCTTATCGACATAAATTAATACTCCAAATCAGTGGCAGACCCAGGATTTTACGCAAGCGGGTTCAATAAAAATAATATTAACCGACAATAAGGGCGCTACCGGAAAATAAGATCTGTCTGATGCTCTTTTTTTACATTAAACTCATAATGCTACCCCAAAATGAACAATTCAAAAAAGTTGCGGTCGACATCCCATTTATTTTTTCAAAAAGGATGAGCAAGAAATTTAAAATATTTAACAAAGACCACTTACTTTAAAAATGTTAACAATTTATCTATTTAATTTAATAATTTCATTTCAAATATTTTCACCTTTATTACACTTTAACTAAAATCTATTTACCAAATTTAGAAACCTTCTAGACTCTAGAAAGTTGTCAAAATCTAAAATCTTTTTCTTAGTGATAAAGAACAAAGTCGCTAATTTACAAACAAAAAACAACGAAAAATAAAGAATTACGACTTAAACTAAACTAATTCAAGTTATAAGAGAAGAGAGCTTATAAAGTAAACTAACAATTTCAATGTAACATTAAGTAAACAATTTAAGTTGAACTAACAAATTATAAATAATTTCATATTGCACTTGCATATTTTATCAAAGATAATGTACAATTTTGCCCACTAAATAAATAAGTTATACCAATCTAAATTGACAAAGAGGGTCATTTGGTCTGCATACGTTCGATAAAAATGAGAGAGAAGAGTGTGGAAGGTTCAAAAGAAAATTCTCTATTTTCAGTGTTTAATGTTGTCCAAAGTAAGATTTTCCCCCAAAATCTGAACTTTTCTGCTAGTTTCATATGCTTGTTATTTATAAATAAAGCATTTTTGTCTTAGGGTTCACATTTCTTTTCTGTTAAAGTTAGGATTTTTTAGATTATGCTTCGTGGTTTAGGGATTTCACTATTCTGTGCTCAGATATGTGATTTGTCGTTTAGGGTTTTACTTTGTCTCTGTTTTTGTCATTGTTTGTGTTTGCACGTGACTTTCAACTTTATACCCCGATTATTTGTTTGTTTCTGTTGGTCGGTTAGGGTATATTGGTGGAATTGATGATATTTAGTTTATTATTACTCTTTGTTTTAGAAGAACTTTCTCATGTTTAGGATTTCAAGTATGTGTGGTCCCTTTTGTTTTTTAAAGAAGGGCCGCATATGGTTGGGTTTTTAACTGAAAAAGGATTTGAAGTATTTGTTAATAGCTGACTTGTTGTTATTTGGTCCCCTGTTTCACCTGCATTTACTTTGAAGATGATGCTCATGTGGGTCTTACAGATATGTTTTGTGCTTATTTTATTGAGGTAGGACTCTAAGTTTGATATTTTATTATGTGGTCCCTCATATGCATGCTTGTGCCCGTTTCTTTATCATAGTACCTCATTCAATTTTGTTTCTTTATTCATCTACCTCTGTATCTTTTCCTTATTCCCTTTATTTATCCCCTCTTTTGTTTATTCAAGTTTTCCCTTACATGTTTATTTATTATTTCTGCACCACTTGGCTTTGTTACTTCTTTATGTATTTACTATGCTAGGCTGTAATAACTTTATTCATGGTTACTATGCAGCCTTTTATAGATGGTACTAGTTGAGTTAGTTTTTCATTATGGTGGGGAATGGACTAGTAAGCCATGTCTAATGTATAATGAGAAGTATGTGCACATCAATAAAGGCTTTCACTCTGACTTGCTCTCTTATGCTGATTTAGTTGATGAATATGATACCAAGTTTGGGTATATAGGGGTGCAACAACTAATAGTAAAGGATCATGTTGGTAGATACTATGAAATAGATGGGGATGTTGGGATTAGGACTTTATTGGACTTTGTTAGTGGACAGTGTAATGTTATTAATTTGTTTGTTGTAGAAGAGTGTGAACCAGCAATTGATGTACCTAATATAGTCACTCACGGTAGAAGTTGAAGTTGCTATTGATTGTAGTGATAATGATAGTAAAAAAAATGATTTTAATTCTCATGATTCTCCTGAATTAAGTTCTGATGGATTGGAGCAACTTTTTTTTACAAAAGAAGAGGAACATCAATGATAAGTTAACTGACTATAAAAAGTTAGATAGGTCAATGACATTTACAGATATACCTGAAGCTAGAAAAATGATCAACATGTATTCTCTTGCAAATGGACAATGGCGGATACACCTTTGGACATATGGGTGTTGAAGCACCCATTGGCTTTGGCCAGATTATTTCTGCACCACTTGGCTTTGTTACTTCTTTATGTATTTACTATGCTAGGCTGTAATAACTTTATTCATGGTTACTATGCAGCCTTTTATAGATGGTACTAGTTGAGTTAGTTTTTCATTATGGTGGGGAATGGACTAGTAAGCCACGTCTAATGTATAATGAGAAGTATGTGCACATCAATAAAGGCTTTCACTCTGACTTGCTCTCTTATGCTGATTTAGTTGATGAATATGATACCAAGTTTGGGTATATAGGGGTGCAACAACTAATAGTAAAGGATCATGTTGGTAGATACTATGAAATAGATGGGGATGTTGGGATTAGGACTTTATTGGACTTTGTTAGTGGACAGTGTAATGTTATTAATTTGTTTGTTGTAGAAGAGTGTGAACCAGCAATTGATGTACCTAATATAGTCACTCACGGTAGAAGTTGAAGTTGCTATTGATTGTAGTGATAATGATAG